AAAGGGTGAAACATTCTAAAAATCATATGGATAATTATAGAAAACATATTAATGTCTTTTACATCTATTTTTATTTTTTGGGAATAGGATGTCCCTGTTGCTCAGGCTGGCCTTGACCTCCTGGGCTCAAGTAATCCTCCTGCCTCGGACTGAAGTAGCTGCGATACTACAGTAACATGCCATTAAATATTGTTTTTTACTCCTCCTTACAACCCTATGAGGAAACTGGGTTAGGTGGTGTGACTCATGTCTATAATCCCAGGACTTTGGGAGGCCTAGTTAGGAAGATCACCTGAGATCAGGAGTTCACGGTTACAGTGTCACTGCACTCCAACTCAGGTGATCAAAAAAAAAAAAAAAAAAAAAGGAAACTGAATCAGAGTTAAAAGTCACCAACCAGTAAATGATGGAACTGAGATTTAAACCTTCAAGAGTATCTGCTCTGTTCGTTTTTGGCAGGCTGGGGGCAACGTGGGGAAGGTGTATAACTTTTTTTAACTTCTCAGAGTGCTTTTACATTTACTTTATTAGTCAAAAAGTATAGTATATAAACTTACCTGGATAATTAAAAGAATACCTCTTGTCTCAATAATTCAGACTACTGAAACAGACATTTCTCATTCAAATTCACATTACTTTTAGGCCTGGTGCGGTGACTCACGCCTGTAATCCCAGCACTTTGGTAGGCTGAGGCAGATGGATCACTTGAGGTCAGTTTGAGACCAGCCTGACCAACATGGTGAAACCCCATCTCTACTAAATACAAAAAAATACAAAATTAGCTGGACATGGTTGTGCATGCCTGTAATCCCAGCTATTCGAGTGGCTGAGGCAGAGAATCTCTTGAACCCAGGAGATCGAGGCTGCAGTGAGCCAAGATTGCACCACTGCACTCCATCCTGGGCGACAGAACAAGACTCTGTCTCAAGAACGAAAAAAAACTAAATTTATGTTAATTTTATTAATTGTTGAATATTGATATATGTTATCTCACAAGTATAGAAATAAAACCATAAAATAAAGGAAATGTGACACATAGATACACGTGCATACATAATTTTAGACAAATTGGTAATTTACTTTCTATCTTTGTGTGTGTGTGTGTGTGTTTTGAAACAGGGTATCACTCTGTTACCCAGGCTGGAGTGCAGTGGCGTGATCACGGCTCACTGCAGCCTCGACATCCAGGACTCAGTGCTTTTTAAACTTTTTTTTTTTTTTGAGGCAAAGTCTAGTTATATCGCTCAGGCTGGAGTGCAGTGGTGCGATCTTGGCTCACTGCAATCTCCGCCTCCCGGGTTCAAGCGATTCTCCCGCCTCAGCCTCCGAAGTAGCTAGGATTACAGGAAGGCACCCACCACACTTGGGTAATTATTGTATTTTTAGTAGAGGCAGGGTTTCACCATGTTGGCCAGGCTGGTCTGGAACTCAGGTGATCCACCCACCTTGGCCTTCCAAAGTGCTGGGATTACAGGTATGAGCCACCACACCCAGCCTCGCTTTTTAGATTTTTAATAAAATGTTTCATCATGCTACAGAAAAGTAGCTGGAGCCCAGGTGTTGGAGACCAGTCTGGGCTAGCTGGGGCCAGGCGCGGTGGCTCATGCCTGTAATCCCAGCACTTTGGGAGGCTGAGGCGGGCGGATCACAAGGTCAGGAGATCAAGACCACCCTGGCTAACATGGTGAAATCCCGTCTCTACCAAAAATACAAAATATTAGCCGGGCGCGGTGGCGGGCGCCTGTGGTCCCAGCTACTCGGGAGGCTGAGGCAGGAGAATGGCGTGGGCCCAGGAGGCGGAGCTTGCAGTGAGCCGAGATCCCGCCACTGCACTCCAGCCTGGGCGACAGAGCAAGACTCCGTCTCAAAAAAAAAAAAAAAAAAAAAAAAATTAGCTGGGTGTGGTGGTGTGAGCCTGTAGTGCCAATTACCTGGGAGGCTGGGAAGAGAGGATCACCTGATTCTAGCTGTGATTGCACCACTGCATTCCAGCCTCAGCAACAAAGTGAGACCGTCTTAAAGAAGAAGAAAAAAAAGAGAGAAAGAAAGAAAAGTGGAGAGAATAATGCTGCCAGTATTCCCTAATTATCTTCTAGGTTTGGCAAATCTTAATGATGCTATATTTGCTTCAGATAACATTTTTAAATTTAGCTTTTTGAATAGTTAATACATTTGTATGTTCAAAAAAAATTATAGTTAAGTTCCCATCCCACTCTATCCCATATGCCACTTTCACTGCATAGGTTCTAGTTATATATTTTTCTGAGATTGTGTGTGTATGTTTGTGTGTATACAAACAAATACAAATATATTTGGACTCACTATTTTAAAATGGAAAAGTTAACTTTTAAAAAAATGTTTTCTCTTTATTTAATAGAGACAGGGTCTCAGTATGTTGCCCAGGCTGGTTTTGAATTCCTGGGCTCAACCAATTCTCCTGCCTCAGCCTCTCAGAGTGCTGTGATTACAGGCATGAGCCACCAAGTCTGACCAAATAACTTTTTTTTTGAGACAGAGTCTTGCTCTGTCACCAGGGCTGGAGTGCAGTGGCATGATCTCGGCTCACTGCAACCTCTACCTCCCAGGTTCAAGCGATATTCCTGCCTCAGCCTCCTGAGTAGCTGGAATTACAGGCGCACGCCACCACGCCGGGCGAATTTTTGCATTTTTAGTAGAGATGGGGGTTTCATCATGTTGGTCAGGCTGGTCTCGAACTCCTGACCTCGTGATCTGCCCGCCTCGGCCTCCCAAAGTGCTGGGATTACAGGCGTGAACCACCGCACCAGGTCCCAAGTAACATATTTTTGACATTTTTCTTTTTGTTTACATTCACACTCACTCTCACTTTTTTTTTTTTTTTTTTTTTTTTTGGCGACAGGGTCTTACTGTGTCACCCAGGCTGGATCTCCAGCTGGATTGCCAGCAGTGCGATCCTAGTCACTGCAGCCTTGAACTTCTGGGCTCAAGTGATTCGCCCGCCTGGGCCTCCCAAAGTGCTGGGATTACAGGCGTGAGCCACACCGCACCTGGCCAGTGTCTACACTCAACCCTATTTTTCCTCTCTTTACCACCTCTTTTCTCAGTTTATTATTCAATAAACAGTTCATAAAACTCTGAGTTCAAGGCATTCTGCTATGAACTCTGAAGAAGCGGTAATTTCTCATTCACTATTGCTTGCCTTTGTCATTTTTCCTCCTCCCACAACTCAGTTTTCCAAAAACTGAGACCTATTTCCAAGGTTTAAAGTGCCGGGCGCGGTGGCTCACCCCTGTAATCCCAGCACTTTGGGAAGCTGAGGCAGGAAGATCGCTTGAGCCAAGGAGTTCGAGACCAGCCTGGGCAGCTAATCCCCGTCTTTGCAAAACAAACAAACAAACAAACAAACAAACAAACTCATTAAAACAAAAATTAGCTGGGTGTGGTGGTGGTAGTAGGGTAAGAGAGGCTGAGGTGGGAGGATCGTTTCAGTCCGGGAGCTAGAGACTAGTCAACTGAGATCGAGTCACTGCTTTCCAGCCTGAGTGATAGAGCGAGACTTAGTCTCAAGAAAAAAAGAAAAAAAAAGCCCAGAATAACTAGTATTAGCTTTATGCAAATAAGGAGGCCCTCTGAAGAATTCAGTACGGCGGAAACAGTGGGACCGGAGGCGGGACCGGCGTGGTGGGCGGAACCTGAGAGGCGGGTCTTGCAGGCCCCGCCCAGCTCGCGCGCGGATTTGGCGCCAAACGCTGCGGGCCTTCCTCCCCGGGAGTTCCCGAGTATCGCGAGAAGCGCGCATAGTCTGCACGCCGAGGTACGCTCTGTGGCCGGTGTTTTCTGCGTGAGGTGAGAACTGACTGGCGGCCCAGTGAGGTTCTTGCGGGGAGAGGGAAGTCAGAGGAACTAGCCAGGGAGCCAGATGGACGAGCCAGGGAGCCAGACGGAAGAGCCAGGGAGCCAGACGGACGAGCGGGAAAGCCTAATTGTTGCAGCGGGTCAGGAGGCTTGGGGAGTCGACCTGACCTGGCCTGGAGAGGCGGGGAGGCGGGCGCGTGTCCCGGTTGCTTAGGTTTTGGGCTGCCTCTTACTCTGCCAAGCCCCTTAGCGGGAGGGAATGTGTTCCTGATCATCTTTACCCCAGTCTTCTATCCGGGGCGTGTCAATGTAGAAAGCGCCCAGCGAATGTTGGATGAATGAATGAAGTTAAAGAGAAGATAGGCGGGGATCGGGGATGAGGGGGGCGGCTGGAGAAGAGGTATAGAAGGTTCGATGTTTCAGGGGTGGCACCCAAGGGGGACATCGAGGCAGCACGGTAGCACTTCCTTTGCGATGAGGGCCATCTCTTTGGACTTCTTGGAAAAGAGGTGGGCATTGGAAACCAGGGTCTGGGAACAAACCGTGGTTTGGACATAACATTTGTTACCTTAACTCTTCTGGGAGTTTGAGGAGTAGAGGAGGAAGTTCACACAATTTCATAAATGTCTAAAAAGAGACAGTTATGCGACCACTGACGCAGAGTAAAAGTCGTCTGTTGAGCATCTTATTCACTACAAATAGAAGAAATACCAGTTTCCTGACAATTCCCACCCCGTACTTGGCCAGTTCTTGAGTGCACTTAATATATTTTAGGTACTGTCATCAAACTCAAAGCTCGCTGTTAGCTTCAAAGTTCTGAACCCTAGTATAGATTCTTGTAGCTTACTTGAAGCTACCGTGGGTCATGATCGGGAATTGATGCTTTTTTTTTTGAAACAGTGTCTGGCTCTGTCGCCCAGGCTGAAGTGCGATAGCGCGGTCTTGGCTCACTGCAAACTCCGCCTCCTGGGTTCAAACGATTCTCCTTCCTCAGCCTCCCGAGTAGCTGGGACTACAGGCGCCCGCCACCACACCTGGCTAATTTTTTTTTTTGTATTTTTAGTAGAGACAGGGTTTCACTGTGTTGGCCAGGCTGGTCTTGAACTCCTGACCTCATGATCCATCCGCCTCGACCTCCCATAGTGCTGGGATTACAGGCGTGAGCCACCGCGCCCAGCCGATGCTTTTCTTTTATATTTGTGGTAATCGAAATTTAGAATTAGTGAGATTTTAAAGATCATCTAACTCCAATTTGGGGAAACTTTGGAATTATTTTTTTGCATTCCATCATTCATCAAATATATATTGAGCACCTGCAGCTGCTGTGTACCAACACTGGGGTTCGAGCTGTGTAGCATAGAGAGACCTACCTGGTTGCCCTTTTTGAGCTGCAGTCTAGTTTGGGAGACGAACAATAAATAACTGTATAAATAAAACCTGATATTGAAACTGGATAAGTGCCATGATATTTGTACTTTTGACACTATGAATGCTTACTAAAGAAGGATTTAGAGAAATTGAGGTAAACTTTTGAAAAGGTGATAGTTGATATCTGAAAGAGATGAGGAGTCAAGGTATAGCTTTTTCAAGACAGGAAATAGTATTTGTAAAGATCTGGTGGCCTGAGGAATATAGCTTTTTCAGGGAAAGAAAAAGCAAAGAGTAGTGTGAAGTGAGGTTGTAAGAGGCCAGATCACATAGGGCCTTGGAGTTTTGTCTTTATCTTAAGAGCAATCAGAAACCATTGAAATACTTAAGCCAAGTGAGGTGATCAGCTTTACATTTTCAGATTCAGTCTAGATGTAATACGGACAATTGAAGAAGGCAAGAGTGGATGAGAGTAGTGGAGTAATGCAAGCAAGAAATGTTGGGAAGTAGTTATAGAGATAAGGAGAAATAGATTCAAGGGATATTTAGGAAATAAAATGGGCAGGATCTGTGGGATAGGGGGAAGGAATTGCTAAAGATGACTTGTAGGTTTCTGAATTGCTTAGCTGGATAGATGTCATTCACTGAATTAGAAAAATTTAGAAGTTTGGTTTTGTACATGTTGAATTACAGGTGCCTTTCAGGCATTTAGGAGGTGTAAAATGGGAAATAGTGATCTGGATCGGAGAGTCAAGGCCTAGGGTAAAGATGAAAATCAGGGAGTCATCAATAAATAAGTTCTTATTAAAACTATGCATAAATGAATGAAGAAGCCCTAGGATGGAGTCTTGGATACTTAATGGCCAGGTTAGAAGATAAACCTGCAAGGAAAATCCAGGAGGAGTGCCCAGAAAGGGAGGAAAGCCAGGTGAGTACTGTGTCTTAAAAGTTAAGGTAAACATTTTTCCCAGAAAAAACTGACCGAAAGTGTCAGTTGTTACTGAGAAGTAAGGCAGTACTGAAAAACATTCTTTCAAGTTATCAACCCGAGGATAATTTCCCATTCTTTAAAGGAAGCCTTACCTAGAACACCAATATGTAAACACATTAAAAAAATGTTTTTTTTACTTTTAATTTTTGTGGGCACATAGTAGGTGTATATAAACAGATTTTTTATTTTATTTTATTTTATTTTTTTAAGATGGAGTCTTGCTCTGTGGCCCAGGCTGGAGTGCAGTGGCGTGATCTTGGCTCACTGCAACCTCCGCCTCCCAGGTTCACGCCATTCTCCCGCCTCAGCCTCCTGAGTAGCTGGGATGACAGGCGCCCGCCACCAAGCCCGGCTAATTTTTTTATTTTTAGTAGAAACGGGGTTTCACCATTCACGGGATGGTCTCGATCTCCTGACCTTGTGATCCACCTGCCTCAGCTTCCCAAAGTGCTGGAATTACAGGCGTGAGCCACTGCGCCTGGCAGATTTTTTTTTTTTTAAGCTGCTCTACTTGAAGTGGGGATGAAGTACCTATATCCTGCATATTTCATACCCTATTGGATCACAGTTTGAAACCCTCTGAAAAGTCAAATTTATCTTTTTTCTTTTTTTCTGAGATGGAGTTTTGCTCTTGTTGCCCAGGCTGGAGTGCAATGGCACGATCTTGGCTCACAGCAACCTCCACCCCCCAGATTCAAGCGATTCTCCTGCCTCAGCCTCCCAAGTAGCTGGGATTACAGGCATGTGCCACTACGCCCGGCTAATTTTGTATTTTTAGTAGAGACAGTAGAGACGGGTTTCTCCATGTTGCTCAGGCTGGTCTCAAACTCCCGACCTCAGGTAATCTGCCCGCCTCAGCCTCCCAAAGGGATTATAGGCATGAGCCACCGCGCCCGGCCCAAAATTTCTTTTTATGGTAGGGGAAGCTCAATAGTTGAGGTACAACGATTTGTTCAAAATGATATAGATATTTAGTGTTAGAGTCTACCTTGGAACTTAGTTCTGATTTCTAGGCTAGTCCTTTTTTTCATAATTAGTATCTTCTCTACTTTTCATGATGTGTAAGTCTGAAATGTGGTCTAACTGATTGAAACACATGAAATGGCTGCAGGTAGAACTTGTCTATATAGTGGAGACTATTTGGATGAATACAAATAACTTTACATTTTTTCCCTTAGAGGAAAAGATGCTAGAACCACAGGAGAATGGCATGATTGACCTACCAGATTATGAGCATGTAGAAGATGAAACTTTTCCTCCTTTCCCACCTCCAGCCTCTCCAGAGAGACAAGACGGTGAAGGAATTGAGCCTGATGAAGGTATGTATAGAGAGTTTTAAAAAGGAGGCTGTGAGGCCGGGCACAGTGGCTCATGCCTATAATTCCAGCACTTTGGGAGGCCGAGGCAGGTGGATCAAAAGGTCAGGAATTTGAGACCAGCCTGACCAACATGGTGAAACCCCATCTCTACTAAAAATACAAAAATTAGCTGGGGCATGGTGGCTGTGGTAAAAGGAGGCTGTGGTAAAAGGTATTTGAGGAGAAAAAAGAAAAAAAAAAGGAGGCTGGGTACACTGGGTCCTGCCTGTAATCTCAGCACTTTGGGAGGCCAAGGCAGGAGGATGGCTTGAGCCCAGGATTTCAAGACCAGCCTGGGCAACATAGCAAGACCTCGTCTCTACTAAAGATTTGAAAATTACCCGCATGTGGTAGGCCACGCCTGTAGTTTCAGATACTCAGGATGCTAAGGCAGGAGAATCGCTTGAGCCCAGGAGTTTGAGGCTGCAGTGAGCCAAGATCTCACCACTGCACTCAAGCGTGGGCAACAGAGTGAGACCCTGTTTCAAAACAAGATGTCCTATGTTTAGTTATCTTATCAGCTTGGAAATGATACAAAATAAATAATACAAATTATTTAAATACAGTAATACTGAATCTTGGTATGTTTCACCAGAGTCAGGAAGTGGAGCACTTGTTCCTGTACCTCCAAAGAGAACAGTTAAAAGAAATATACCCAAGCTGGATGCTCAGAGGTACATTTACTATATTCGTATATATTTATACTTTTTATTTTTAACATCCACTGTTTTTCTTCTAATGTTATAAACTTTTGGTTGGTATGATGTAGAGCTCTTATATTTCTAAAAAAGTTTTTTTAGTTCAGCAGAACATTTTTTCTTATGGTCTTGCTTTGGACCAAACTTGAGAAAACTTGGAAATTAGGCCGGGCGTGGTGGCTCACGCCTGTAATCCCAGCACTTTGGGAGGCCGAGGCAGGCGAATCACGAGGTCAGGAGATCGAGACCATCCTGGCTAACATGGTGAAACCCTGTCTCCACTAAAAATAAAAAAAATTAGCTGGGCGCCGTGGTGGGCACCTGTAGTCCCAGCTACTTGGGAGGCTGAGGCAGGAGAATGATGTGAACCCAGGGGAGGCCGAGCTTGCAGTGACCCGAGATCATGCCGCTGTGCTTCAGCCTGGGTGACACAGCAAGATTCCCTCTCAAAAAAAAAAAAAAAAAGAAAAGGAAACTTGAAATTAAAAACGTATTTTTATTCACAGATTAATTTCAGAGAGAGGGCTTCCAGCCTTAAGGCATGTATTTGATAAAGCAAAATTCAAAGGTAAAGGTCATGAGGTAAGAACTTTTTGATTTTTATGTTAGACCTTTGTTTTTTACAATAGTAATAAAAATGTGGACCCATTATGTTCTTAGAAATCTCAGAATGCTTTAAGATGCTATCCTTAATTGTCGTATCTCTTGAGATCTTGAGAAACAGTTGTGATGTACTAGACAGGGAACTGTTTGAAGAATTAGAAAGCATGTCTTGTGTTGTCTCATTTTTTGCTACATAAACCTTGTCTATGAGAAAATCACACCTGTGTCTTTAAGTCTCAGTTTTTACTTTATAATTTAGAGGAATAAAATTTACTTTGTCTACCTCAAAGATTTAAAATTTCATGAGGGCAAGGACTCTGCCTGTATCGATCACTTATGTGTCCCCAAGATGTGGCACAGTGCTTGGTTCATAATAAATGTCAGTAATGTGTGGTTAAAAAATGAATACATTTAGTAACTGTCAATCACTATACATATGCACATTTTGAAGTCTATTTTTGAATTATGTGGGAGTGTAGATATAATTTTTTGCAGATGATAGTATGTTTTTAGAGAGTATTGTAGTTTTTCAAGTGTTTCTAATATATTATTTTATTTTTTATTTTATTTTTTATTTTTTGAGACGGAGTCTCGCTTGTCTGTCGCCCAGGCTGGAGTGCAGTGGCGTGATCTCGTCTCACTGCAAGCTCTGTCTCCTGGGTTCACGCCATTCTCCTGCCTCAGCCACCCGAGTAGCTGGGACTACAGGCGCCCACCACCATGCCTGGCTAATTTTTTGTATTTTTAGTAGAGATGGGGTTTCACCGTGTTAACCAGGATGGTCTCGATCTCCTGACCTCGTGATCTGCCCGCCTTGGTGGCCTCCCAAAGTGCTGAGATTACAGGCATGAGCCACTGTGCCCGGCCTCTAATATATTCTTTAGTTTTCAACCTGTGGTGTAGGTATTGCTGTGCAGTGGGGAGAGGGAAGGGTTAGAGTTTTTTTTTTTTTTTAATTACTTTTTTAAAAAAAATTATTGTTTTATTTATTTTTTGTTTTGAGACAGAGTCTCACTCTGTTGCCCAGGCCGGAGTGCAGTGGCATGATCTTGCTCACTGCAACCTCTGCCTCCCAGGTTCAAGTGATTCTCCTGCCTCAGCCTCCCAAGTAGCTGAGATTACAGGTGCCCGCCACTATACCTGGCTGATTTTTTTTTTTTTTTGAGACGGAGTCTCGCTCTGTCGCCCAGGCTGGAGTACAGTGGCGCGATCTCCACTCACTGCAAGCTCTGCCTCCCGGGTTCACACCATTCTCCTGCCTCAGCCTCCTGAGTAGCTGGGACTACAGGCGCCCACCACCACGCCCGGCTAATTTTTGTATTTTTAGTAGAGATGGGGTTTCACTGTGTTAGCCAGGATGGTCTCGATCTCCTGACCTCGTGATCTGCCTGTCTCGGCCTTCCAAAGTGCTGGGATTACAGGTGTGAGCCACCGCGCCCGGCTACCTGGCTAATTTTTGTATTTTTAGCATAGACGGGGTTTCACCATGTTGGCCAGACTGGTCTCGAACTCCTGACCTCAGGTGATGTGCCCACCTCGGCCTCCCAAAGTGTTGAGATTACAGGCGTGAGCCACTGCACTCGGCCTACTATCTTTTAACTTTATTAAGTGTTTTTTTTGTTTTTTTTTTTTTTTTTGAGATGGAGTTTCACTCTTGTCGCCCAAGCTGGAGTGCAGTGACTCGGTCTTGGCTCACTTCAACCTCCACCTCTTGGGTTCAAGCGATTCTACTGCCGCAGCCTCCCAAGTAGCTGGGATTACAGGTGCCTGCCGCCACGCCCAACTAATTTTTGTATTTTTAGTAGAGATGGGGTTTCACCATGTTGGCCAAGCTGATCTGGAACTCCTGACTCAGGTCATCTACCCTCCTCGGCCTCCCAAAGTGCTGGGATTACAGGCGTGAGACACTGCGCTTGGCCAACTTTATTAGGTTTTTGTACTTGGATTTGTTTTCATCTAATTTTTATGCATCTGTATCCAGGTGGGGTGCCTTGGCTCGTGCTGTAATCCCAGCACTTTGGGAGGCCGGGGTGGGTGAATCACTTGAGGCCAGGAGTTTGAGACCAGCCTGGCCAACATGGTGAAACTACTGTCTACTAAAAAATACAAAATTTAGGCCGGGCATGGTGATGCACGCCTCTAATCTCAGCTACTTGGGAGTCTGAGGCATGAGAATTGCTTAAACCCGGGAGGCAGAGGTTGCAGTGAGCCGAGACTTCACCCTTGCACTTCAGCCTGGGTGAGAGTGAGACTCTCTCTGAAAAAAAAAAAGAAAACCTGTATTCAGTACTCTTTTAGACTGCAATCCTCTAAGTTCTTAATAATTTTCTCTCTCTCTCTCTCTCTTTTTTTTTTTTTTTTGATATAAGATCTCGCTGTCACCCAGTCTAGAGTGCGGTGGTGTGAACTTAGCTCACTGCAACCTCTGCCCGCCAGGTTTAGGCAATCCTCTCACTTCAGCCACCTGAATAGCTGGGTCCACAGGTGTGTACCACTAACGCCTGGCTATATTTTGTATTTTTAGAAGATATGGGGTCTCACCATGTTGCCTCAGGCTGGCCTTAAACCCCTTACCTCAAGTGATCTGTGCCCCTAGGCCTCCCATAGTGCTTTGATTACAGGTGTGAACAGCTGTGTCTGGCCAATATTTTTCTTATTAATAAATTTCCTTTTATAACGTTTTTGAGCTTATAAATACAAAATGACCCCAGTGATTTTGGCATAGCTTTTCAGTTCTGAAACTTGCTGACAGGGTTAGCTGTGAGAATGAGACTCCTGTTTAGCATTTTTATTTTTATGTGCCAGGCTGAAGACTTGAAGATGCTAATCAGACACATGGAGCACTGGGCACATAGGCTATTCCCTAAACTGCAGTTTGAGGATTTTATTGACAGAGTTGAATACCTGGGAAGTAAAAAGGAAGTTCAGGTAAGTGTTGAGATGATTATAAATATTCATAATGCTAAATGGTAGGATAGATTTAGTTGAGGCTAAATTACTGTTTAAAGTGTTCATTTTGGAATCTCTTTTGGTAGAGAGGGAAAACTAATAGCAAATTATTCCCCCCCAACATTATTGGTCAAGAGGTAAAAATAAATATCTCTTTTCATTTTCAGACCTGTTTGAAACGAATTCGACTTGATCTCCCTATTTTACATGAAGATTTTGTTAGCAATAATGGTAAGAATATAGGTTTATCTACTTTATAACAATTTTACTTTTAGAAATAGATCTAGGCAGGGTGTGGTGGCTCATGCCTGTAATCCCAGCACTTTGCTTTTTTGTTTCATGTTTAGGAACAGAATCTTGCTCTGTTACCCAGTTTGGAGTACAGTAGCACAATCATAGCTTACTGTAGCCTTCAGCTCCTGGGCTTAAGGGATCTTCCCGCCTCAGCCTCCCAAGTAGCTGGGACTACAGGTGCATGCCATTGCGCCTGGCTAATTTTTAAATTTTTGTAAAGATGGGGATCTCCCTGCGTTGCCTTGGCTGGTCTCACACTCCTGACCTCAAGCCATACTGTGCCTGGCCAACTTTTTTTTTGTGTGTGTGTGTGTGAGACAGAGTCTCACTTTGTAGCCCAGGCTAGAGTGCAGTGTTACAATCTCGACTCGGCTCATTGCAACCTCCGTCTCCCAGGTCCCGGTTCAGGGAATTCTCCTACCTCAGCCTCCCGAGTAGCTGGGATCACAGGCACGTGCCATCATGCCCAGCTAATTTTTGTAGGGTTTTTTTTTTTTTGTTTTTTTAAGTAGAGACGGGGTTTCACCATGTTGACCAGGCTGTTTCTGAACTCCTGACTTCATGATCCACCTACCTTGGCCTCCCAAAGTGCTGGGATTATAGGTGTGAGCTACTGCACCTGGCTTGTTAATTTGTTTTTAAAGACTAGTCAAGTGCAGTAGTGAAAAGGGAGGAAAGAGTAGAACAAGGAGTTTGATCTGTAACTGACTGAATTGAGATAAATCACTACCTTTGGATCAACCCCAGTACTTTGGGAGGCCATGGAGGGAGGATTACTTGAATCCTGGAGTTGGAGATCAGTCTGGGCAACCTAGTGAGACCCCATCTATACAAATTTTTAAAAAGTTAATCAGGTGTGGTGGTGCATGCCTGTTGTCCTAGCTACTCATGGGGGTTGAGGCAGGAGGATCACTTGAGCCCAGGAATTCAAGGCTGCAGTGAACCAGGATCACAACAGTGTACTGTAGCCTGGGCAATAAATAGGGTAAGACCTTGTCAGAAAAAAAAAAAAGAAAGAATAGAAGTAGTTAGAGGGGGCAGTATTATAGGACTGGATCCTTAGTCTATATGGAATATATAATTAAAGTATGGTAAAGTACGATAAATAGGTATGTTAAAATGCCTTCGTAGTGGGCTGGGCGTGGTGGCTCATGCCTATGATCCCAGCACACTCAGGGAGGCTGAGGTGAGCGGAGGTCAGGAGTTTGAGACCAGCCTGACCAACATGGGGAAACCCCATCTGTACTGAGAATACAAAAATTAACTGTGTGGGGCAGCGCACGCCTGTAATCCCAGCTACTCAGGAGACTGAGGCAGGAGAATTACTTGAATCCAGGAAGTGAAAGTTGCAGTGAGCCGAGATTGCGCTGCTGCAATCCAGCCTGGGTGATAGAGTGAGGCTCTAACTCAAAAAAAAAAAAAAAAAAAAAAAAAAAAGGCCTTGCTACATCTAGAATGTTGTATGTCAAATTTGTTGTAGAATATGAACTTTTGAGAACTCTAGTGACCCACTGATCCTATATAGCACTTGTTAATAAAAATATATATCAAGATAAAGTGTTCATATACACATGCACTATTGGATACCATTGGATAAAGTGGTACTGGGAAATTAGGCAGAATGATTTGATGATGAAAGTTTGCATTTCACTTAGAGTGAAATATAGGTGAAATACAGCTCTCGGATATGGGACTTTAGTGAGACCTATGTGACTGTTCCTGGTATTGATTGCATTGTTAGTGGTACAATGCAACCAAAGACAGTCACACACATTAAAACATATGGTTCCTGCCGACAGGGTCTGTATAGTTATCAGATTTTCTGTGCGATGGCTCCATACATGTTTGTTTTTGTTTTTTAACTTTTAACAGATGTGGAAGAAAATACAGGTTCCATGTAGAATTCCCTAAAGTTATTTATAAACTACTTCCAAACATGTGAAGGAATGTGATTTAAATAATTCATGATTTAAATTTCTTGGTAAAATATGTATTAATGGCATAGGACTGGTATATGTAAAGGAATGAGTTATTGCAGTTCTAAATTCCACCACATATACTTCTGGGTTACTTTTTGAGGTGCCCGGTATGTAATACAGCTCAAGGATAAAAAAATGACTAAGATCAGGCCCCTTTGTGGGCTAATACAGTAATGAATGAATCAGACATACAACGTTGCCAGTAGTGTGGTAGGTGTTGTAATTAGAGGTACGAGTAGGTCACAGGGTGGGATGCAAAGGAGAGCATAGTTACATGTCCCTGGGGGTGGAGGGAGAGCTTCACAAAGGAGGATTCAGAAGAATTTTGATTTGGGGGTGGGAGGAAGAAGAAAGAAATTAAAAAGAAAAAAAAGTATTTTGAATGAACAGTAGAGGTCAGGCAGAGGTGATTTTGAATGAGGGAGCCACCTATGCAGAAGTATAAATTAACATGGATTTCAGGCTCTATATTCTATGGCAGTAAAAAAAAAAGATAAGCCCTGGCACGGTGGCTCACGCTTGTAATCCCAGCACTTTGGGAGGCCAAGACGGGCAGATCCCGTGAGTCCAGGAGTTCGAGACCAGCCTGGCCAACATGGTGAAACCCCATCTCTTCTAAAAAATACAAAAAATTAGCCTGGCCTGGTGGCATATGCCTGTAATTCTAGCTACTCGGGAGGCTAAGACAGTAGAATTGCTTGAACCCTGGAGGCGGAGGTTGCAGTGAGCTGAGATGGTGCCATTGCACTCCAGCCTGGGCAAAATGAGCAAAACTCCATCTCAAAAAAGAAAAGAAAAAGATAAATTAACATGGACCATTCAGAGAATTACAAGCATGCTGAAATACAGGATATAAATAAGAGAACTGAATCTGAGATTTTTGTTTGTTGTGTGATATATTTCGTTTGTATCTTAAAAGAAGAGTCTCCAAATTTTTTTGATCAGGCACCACAAAAGTAAAAATGTTTTGACCATTTTATTTGTTGATTAAATACATTTACTTCTATACTGATGCGATTTGCGATGTACTTTTTTTTTTTTTGAGAAGGAGTCTCATTCTGTCGCCTGGGCTAGAGTGTAATGGTGTGATCTCGGCTCATTGCAACCTCCACCTCCTGAGTTCAAGTAATTCTCCTGCCTCAGCCTCCCAGTAGCTGGGATTACAGGGGTGCACCACCACACCCAGCTAATTTTTGTATTTTTAGTAGAAACGAGTTTCATCACGTTGGCCAGGCTGGTCTCAAACTCCTGATCTCAGGTGGTCCACCCGCCTTGGCCTCCCAAAGTGTTAGA